GCATTTTTCATAAATTATAACAATGTGTACTTTATTGTTAATTATTAAACAAACTTTTTCGAATCGCAAACTTTGTACTTATTGAAGAGCTTATCTACATATTTAAAACTCCTTGAAAATTAAGCAAACAAAACTCAATTTATTCTTGAACTTTTTTCTCTGTGTAATTGTATTGAGGGATGGACGAAGGCGTGTGTGTCTTTTTGTCTGTGTGTGCGTGGCATGTTCCTGCTTTTTATGTGTTCTTGCCACATCATCAATTACACATTTTACAACTTCTGACTGACTGTCTAAAGGGTGTCACGGGAAAGGGAGTTGCGGGGGAGCCAGGGCGCCGCGACGTGCTGGGGCCACTGACAAAACAGACATAAATCAAACATTTCCCACGTTGCGAAACAATTTCCGGCTGCATGGCAACTCAAGACTTCTATACGTATATACTTGTGTGTGTGTGGGACTGTCTATCTTTTAGCTGAATTTTATTTATGGCATCCGCCAAAACACACACACACATGCACACAGACAGATTCAGACAGTCTGAGCGAGGAACAGACAGACAGACAGACAGACAGATATGATATATAGACAGAACGACTTCAGTTAGAAAATTTACAATTGCTTTTACTTGATACATAATTGTTATTATTGTTGCTGTTATTGCTGTTGCTGCTTTTGGCTGGTTTGGCGCTTTTGTATTGCATTTTGATTTGTGGTTTACAGGCTTTTGTCTGGCTCATAAATTTGGCTTATCCAATGTTTATGTGTTTGGCCATTTTACATGATATGTTTTCTATTGTGGCGCTAATGCACTGCACAAAAATATGCCCTTGAACCAGATGAAGAAAATCGCTATAATTTTTCATATATTAGACAGATCAGTAATATAACAGGTTAATTCTGCCTGACGTGTTTTTCGGAATTTTCGAAAGATCCTCCAAAAAGTTCTAAAAAGATTTTTATATTATTTATTATAAAAAAAAAGGAGGCCCAATAAAATGTATACATTTCAGATTAGCGTTCCTAATTCATAATAATATGCAATTAATGTCAAATAAGATGTTTTCTCTTCATGTCTATTTTCAATTTTCCTCAAATATTCTAGCTCATTATTTTTCCAAGTGTGAACAGCTGAATTTTATACAAAAGAAAGAAAAACGCCCACAGTGCGTATACATTCCCAGCATGTAATTAAATTTAACGAAAAATCATATTCAATTGGATTTCAGCTTAACAGTTTCCATTTTGACCAAATTAAGGAATTGAGCAATTGAATTTGGCTTTTGCCAAATTGATGCTTTGTTTCAGGCACGAGCGCATCACAGCAATTGCTGCCCATTTGTGTGTGGCAAGTGAAGCCCCAGCCAAAGTTGCCTCAATTTGTGACCCACACACACAAAAATAAATATATATATATGTGTTATACTATAACTTTAGTCAAGTCAAGCAACTTGCACAGTGAATGCTTTACTCCTTGTTTGACCCTTGGTTCAACGGCACCTTTTGGCCATTGCCAATTTACGCTTTATATACGAGTCTCGTTCGGGCCATTTGCGACAAGCTACGCAGCAGTTGTCAGAGCAGGCAGGAGGCAAGCAGCAGGCAGGCTAACTGGGAACAAGGGGCAGGCAGGAAGCCCGGTGCGATTCAATCAACCCAAGCCAAGCGCACCACAGCTGCCGCTAATAGGAATTCAGCCATGCTGATGGCTGCAGTTGGGTATATTAACTGCCTAGTTATCCTGCACACAATTAAATTTCAAATATAAAAATCAGAGATTGATTCTTATGAGCAATCTGAGCTGTCTCCGACTCTGCCTCTGTCTACATTTCTTCTTCTCTTACTGTCCCTCGCTTGCGTTCTCTTATTCTTCCTCTAGCTCCTTTTCTTTTTATCTCACTCTTTCTGCCTTTCTCTCTCATTGTCTCTCCTTATACATTTCACCTTTTCTCTTTATCTCAATCTTCATCCAAAGTAAATAGCAGCTTTTCTATATTTTATTTTGCAGGGTATCAAATTACACTCTCTCGTTATGTTTATTCAACCAAATCGATGTCAAATTATTTACCATAATTCTTTGAAATATTTTGTTAAATTTTATTCAGGTTGTTATGGTTTCTCTCCATTATTTGATAAAAACTTAATTAAATGTTTTTATTATTTTGCTGTGTCTTATTTTGTATTACTGATTTACCTTTGTAGGGTATTAAATTGCACTCATTTATTCTGTACATTATTCTTATTATTTATTGGTCACATTTTGTGATTGTTCATGGTCTGCCTAGCATACACTGACTGACTGCTGTGGCATTTGTGGCATGCAGCATAATTTAATATGGCCTTTATTTGGCTTCAGCTTTTATGTGCTACCTTGATGTTCTTTTCGCTTTATTATTGTGGGCCCGTTTTATGTGCTTATTGGGCTTGAAAGGGTTTTCCTTAGACAGCAACACACAAGCCTCTCTCTCTCTCAAAATCTTTCCCTCTCCCTCTCTCTATCTGTCTGTCTCTCTGTCACTTGCCTGCTGTCCAATTCTGAGTGCTTAAATTATTTATTAGACATATTTTGGGACAGCCTTGAGAAATATTATTATGATTTCTGTGCCAGGCTGCTGGCATATGGTGCTGGGGGTATGTGGCACATAAATTATGAGCACTCTCTGCCTGACCCATGAATCCAATCCGAATGACATTATAACCTTACAAAATATGTTCCCAAATACGTTAGCACGTCTCACACAAAACTTGTTGCATACTTTTTTGGGGCATGTTCTGTGTAGTATTCGAATAATTATTTATTTTTGTTTTCTACTTTCGATAATACTCAGCTGTATCTTCAATGTTGGCGAAATTAGTGAAATTATTTGGTAAGTGAAATGATTTGTTATACGATATTCACTCACATCATAATGTTGTTGAAATGTAGGAGAATTGAATTTCTGGAGCAACTACAAAAATACTACATATTCATTGGCATTTTGTTTGCAAATTATTAAATTATTCATTGAGCTTCTTATTATCACATGTTGCCAATTAAGTTAACAACAATAACAAGCAATCGATATCTCATATATATATTATTAATTAAATATTTAAACGTATCAAGTGAAAGCTACTTGAATAAATATGTTGAGGGATTTTCCTGTTGATTCATTTGGGCAAACGTTGTTGTGCCGCCTAACAAAAGGATGTGTCACAAATAAAACAATATTCAATTTGTTATATATTTTTGAGCACAAGACTTTAATCGAGTGCAAAAAAAATACGAACAATAAGTGTGAGGGAAACAGAAGTAGTTTATGAATGAAAAAGAAATTCTAGCAGTAAATTGCAAGTTGATTTCATTAAAATTTCTTTAGCAATAAATTTTGCATATCCTTATGCACAGCACAGATAAATCTAAACTGAATTGGCCAGACTTCTGCAACTCTCTGGCAAATTGAGTAAATGTTTATTCGCATTTTTTGCAAGACACTCGTTCTTCGTGCAGCACCTGCTGCAGCACTTAATATTTATTTTAATTGCTGTCTCAAGGCTATGGCAAAGCTAACAGCTACAAGCTGTAATTGTCCGAGTTATCTGCGTGCTGACTTATTTACGGTTCTAACGCAACAGATCTGAAATTTGTGTGTCGCATAATTTAGCAGCTAGTCGTAATTTCGAATGCAAATTAAATTTTATGTCTCACAGCAGATTGGCATTTAAATCATCATTTAAATGAATTTATTATTTACATCGGTTGACCTCATGCTTTAACTAAATAATGCATATGTTTTGTGGGTCAGGCAAAAAAATGGGTTACATTTTTAATGTGCTTTGGACAATAATAAAATCCAAGACAAATAAGACAGTTTTAGTTGAGGGACCTCGACTTGGAGATGCGATTTTTTCCCCATTTAAAGCGCCGAAAATTTTTAATTAATTTAATTATGAATATCATTTTTAGCACTATGTGAACTTATATTCAAATATTTAAATTATAATTTCTTAACTCACAAGATCACCAATGTTCAGTTAAGATAGTCCTCTCAGATTGATTACCTCAGTGAAAGATAATTAATCAGTGCTGCAGTTGAGTCAAAGACTGTTAAATAACTGAGCCAAAACCTCACATGAGACGCTTGTCAGTTGCTTATTGAAGTACTCGGCAGTTGGCAAACTGCAAGGGTAATTGAATGTGACAAAGCAGCTGCAGTTTCTGGCAAATAAGCAGCAGACCCTGTCCAAAGGACAAACAGGAACTGGCTGCTCGTAACAGATTTACGTGCCACAGTAACGGTGCTACTATTAAGTCAACACACACACACACAGACACACACAATATTATTAAACTTGGGTAATATCCGCTCTCCGATGATGGTCAGCCGAGTCAGTCAGGGGGGGGAAAGTTGTTGTGAGGCTAGCTGGACTGGCTGACTGCTGGCTGAGAGGCCTCAAAATGTCCATCAAAACGTCAGCAGGCATAACTGTGGCCTCCGTAGTCAAACTGATAAGATATGAAAAGCAATTTACGTAAACTGTCAACAGCAAATTCCCTTTTTGCAAAATGCACTATACAAAAAACAGACAATTTTTCCATCAGAAACTTAGAATTAATCATCAAGAGGAACTATTAATATTTATAATTTATATTTAGAACAACAAAAATTATGTTGCGATTTTCTACTTGATTTTAGAGAATATATGTTCATTGAAAACGAATTTACAATGGAATTTTATTTCATCAAACTTTTTACTTAAACAACTATTTACTTTTTTCAAGAAATATTCTGTTCTACTGCTTACAATATAAGAAACTTTTCTCATAACAGCGATTGTTTTCTCTCTGTGTATGTTTTGATGAAAGTCACTTTTTGAAGTATTTGTAAAAATAACTTTTTTGCCAGAAAAAGTAGCTTTTGTTTCCTATAGTGCTATGCACACACACAAGAGCGAGAGAGAAGCAGCGGAATAGACAAGCCAAATGGACAAGCACAAGCTATGGAATTAAAATATCAGACGCATAAATGGCATGGTATATGCACTACATATTTATACATCCGTATATATTCAACATGTCAATCATAGTTTTGTTTTCGAACAAACATACAATTAGACCATACGACAGCTTAAAGCCGCTTGAGTGCAGGCATGGCTAACTGATGCGCCTGATGTTGTGATCAAAGAACAGGCATTGTCCATAAATATTTGAGTCATAAATACTACGCTGAGCATTTCGCTCATAACTGCAAGTGCAGCCAGCGCTCACACAGATTATCTTGTGATCGGCACGATGCATCATTAGCAAACTGTGAACACCGCCCGATATCACTTGGAAATTGGGGGTATTATTGCAGCGCACCATGTTCTTCTTCCAGTCAAAGTAGCTCAGGTGATGCGGACGCGGCATTAACCTGGCCTTACCCTCAAATATGGCTGGCCAGTTGACATAGTGTCCGGAGGTCTTGTAACGCGATTCCCTTAGACTGTGCTCCAGATCAATGAATCCCGAGATTTCGAGGCCCTTCGCCGAGCGCATCAACAAAAAGATAATCGTCTGAAATAGTTGGAATGATTTTTAATTATATGTATTCAATATCTAACAGCCAATTTAGCTAAGGAATACGCTCAGGAGTTTAGCTTGAAATTGCAATTCTGATTATTGTTAACTGAAATAGTCAAAGATACTTTTGTAACTCCTTAAACAGGAACTATACTCAACAGACTTTAGTCTGTCAATAGTCAATAGCTTTTAGCAAATTCAGATGTGTTTGATTGTGATTTTTTACTTGCCGATATTTGCTTATTGAGGAGTTTATGTTCCCGTTGGGCAAACTGCTGCAGCACTTCATCATTGCCGTTATAGCTCGCTCCAAAGAGTGGGAAATCACTGATGCTATGTGGATCTAGAGCAACTTCAGCTTTTTTGCGCTGCTCCACAAACTCGGAACGACTCAGCAGACGACCCATGCAGCTCTTGCCACAGGCATTCTGTATCAGTTGCCTGCTGAGTGCCCAATTGCCCAAATATCGCACATCATTTATGCTGATGAAGTGATCCAAATACTCCTCATACGAATTATAGTCTAGCAGCGCCATGCCCCAAATCGAACTAAAGTCAAATTGTTAATTAACAATATGTTAAAACCAGAAAACAGCTGCCGCAAACCAGGTAGGAAAATCAAATATTTCGTGTGAAATATGGAAAATCAAAATGTGTGTTGAACGAAGCAAAAAAAAATATGAACACAAAACGCACACAATGAAAAACTCATAACTGGAAAACTGACAGCGAAATCGTTGCTCAAAGGCAAAACTTTGTTGGGCTATTATGTAATTTTTTATTTGATGCCGCATATAAGTATAATTAAATACAGTGATGCGCACACATACTCATATACACACTTTTGCCTCGTGCTGCAAATTTAATAAATGGGAAAACTTTACAATGCCTCTCGTTCAAAAGTTGTGCACATTTTCAATTACAGTTTTCTATATGCGACACACACAGAATGACAGCGACTGAGGTATACACACAACACAACACACACAACACACACACACACACACAAACAACACACACGCACACACTTGAAGTATGTGTATATATGTCTGGCACATATATTACTAATTACTTCATCAACATTTAAAATGCGTGCGGCTAAAGCACTTTTTTTCTTATTGTTTTTGCATTTTTCAGCCAGGTTGCATGCAACCCATTTTCTTTTAAGCAGACAACTTTTCGCTATTATTCAGTTACCGCAAAGCATACTTTTCTTAATGAGGCATATTCGCACTGTCCAAGTATTAAGGTGTAGTCAAGTTTTGATGTTTTAACGCTATGAACCCCATTTCGGATATCTCAATCCGATTCTTGAATTCATTTGCGTAATTATTTATATAATATCATAATTATTTATTCGAAAAAATTCTCTCATTGCATATTCATCTGACAGTAACATTTTTTATCAATTGTTTTTTTTTTTTAATATTTAATACATTTTATTTCATTTTATTTACAGATGTTTGAGTTATGCAGATTAATCACTTAATTATGATTAATGATTACAGGGTATGTTACATGGCTTGTATTATGGCTGTCACATGGACTGCCTTATATACCTTTGCAGAGAATGGTTCAATTTGGTTGTGATGTTCGTAATGCTTTAAAGAAGTCTTTTACTCGACAAAATATATATGTTTTTGATCAGTATGACTAGCCGAGTCGATATAGCCATGTCCGTCCGTCTGTTTATCTTGCTGTAACTTAAAATATATTCGTATTTTTTTATGCAGTCAACACATAAGTCTGAGCCTTTTCGTTACTAAGTTATACAAACCAAACTCAGCAGCTATGAGTGTTAATGTGTCGCTAACATTTGAACAAAATATCAACAACATCGCACTGCTATATCATAAATACAAAATTGAAAGGTTTTATTTTAAATTTATAGCAAAGCTTTGTACTCGGAATTGTGACTCCGCTCCGCAAGGGTAAGTCATCTTCGGCGTGCCTAAGCTGGTTGTTCTCACTTGTCTTCAATTTCAGTACAATACAAAAATGCTGACTTGATTGTAAGTGTGTGTGTGTGTGTGTGTGAGTGCATTTACGCTATTTAAACACGTTTCCCACTGTTTGCTGTTGCTGCTGCTGTCGCAGCTGCAATTAACATACTGCTGCTGTCGCAGCTACTGCTGCTCCTGCTGCTGCTGCCACACTGAACACTCGAAGCTGACTCTGAAGGAAGCTACGACGTTGTTGTTGCCACCAGTTCCTGCTGCTGCTGTTGCTGCTGCTTTTCTACTTGCATCTCGCAGTTAGTTGCCGCCTTCGGAGAGTAAATTGCTACTTGGCTGCTTGGGGAACCTGACTCCCTTTGCTGCTCAATCCTTGCCATCCCCTCTGGCTGTAGTTTTCACTTTAGTTCAGTTTACTGGGCGATGCCATTGTTTGACTTGGTCATTAGCAAATGTACTTTGTCGCAGAGTAAAAAGGAGTTAAGTGCGCACTCTAAGGATTTATGCGAGTCCTTGCCACTCGCCTCCTCTCTCTTAGTGTGTGTGAATTGTGCAAGTTAGGGCTGCATTCAATGTCTCAATGGATGCACAGTTCTTCGTTTGCAGCGCGTTAAGTGCGCATTTTGTGATGAATGGGACAAAATGCTGTTTGGCAATTGAAAGGGTTCCGGTTGAGATTCAAATTGAGGAATGAGTTTGTGTTTTGTGTCTCAGATTGGGGTTGATTTTGAGGTTGAGCTTGAGGTTGAACAGACAACAGCTGCAGTTTCTCGTTGTAAGTTTGCTTATATGTGTGTAGAGCAATGACCATCAATCAGATTTACAAGTAATATCCGAGCAACTGACATTCTCAACACACAGACTGTTTGTCTACAGTTTGTCAAAGAAATTTGGCTTTCAATTTTTGTGTCTTAAACACAATATTTGTATAGCATACTTTTTTGGGTCGTCTACAAATTTAAATGTTCTGTATTTGCAATGATTTTGGTATTCAGAAAGACTTTGGGCAATCTATTTTTAACAAGAAATGTTGTCAAACAATTTGAACTAATTTGTTTATTACCTCTAGATGTGTCCTTGTAACTGAAATGGTAGCACCACTTCAACCCAAATATTTTCAGACTCTTAACTCGATATGAGCCTTTTTGCAATGTTTTTAATACTTTCAACCATATGAACCATACCATATGCCTCGTTCTTTCATTTCCCTTCTTTTCCTTTGGTTGGGCAACTCAAATTATCGGGTTGCCATAAATTGCATTCCGTGTCTGTGCTATTTTCTTGGCCGTACATCTTGCCAATGAAATCAAAGCCACATAAATTGCACAAATAATTCAGCACATAGTCTGAATGCCACGCCTTCTTTTTGTGGTCATCCCGAAGGGGCAGGGTGCAGATCACAACGCAATTGCAGTAAATATGGCCAGGGAGACATCAAGCACAGCAAAGTGCAGCGAATGCAGACAAAGGCCCTGAGCCAAAGCCAAAAGAATCATCACTTAGAGCTGACCACAAAGACAGCCAAAGCACGCACACACATACACTCGGAGAAAAATATGTTCAACCACTTTTTAATTTTCAAATTTCAATCTTAAACATTAGAGATATGAAATTAGAGATATGTTCTTAGAAAATCGTTACTTGTAATTTAGAAAAGTTAATCCCAGAGAATCAAACTTTAAACGGAACTCCTCACCGAAATTAACCATTTGAAATGATAAACAACAAACGGTAGAGGAAATCAAACTACGAGTATATCCAGAACTTTTAACCAAACTGCAACAAGTCAACCGATTAAACCAGAGCCAAAATTCGACATATGTCTCTTAAAGAAAAATCAAACCGAAAATGGAACTCTTAACTGGAAACTCAAAATCAGAATTGGAACCGTAAACCATTTACCTCTGATATTTCTCTGAGTGTAGGCACACCCGCTACTGTGACTGACTCCAGTTGGAGCTGTGTAGCCCGCAATCGATCAAAAGGAATTATGTCTCAACACAATTGTAAATAAATCTTTGCGGCCATGTGGACATTATGTGCATGTTGAGGCCAAAAGGCTTGGCCATATCGCCGTCCCAACCACAGACACCACGGAGACACACACACACACACACACACACACACACACAGCAATACATAGAGTGGATAAATCCTGCATATCACATATATGAAGATTGAGTGGTAATGTGTGCAAATCTAAACCTCTCTCACTGTTGAGCCTTTTGCCTACCGCTGCTGCTGCTGCTGGTGGTATTCTATTGCTTGTCCGTTGTCCTTGTGCCTGGCCGTTGACATGTTTGGTAAATTGGTCCTTAGCCGATTGCATCGATTGCTGGGGAACATAGAGAACGTTATCCGTTTCACTTTCGCCTTAACCCCTTCGCTTGTCAACTACCCATTTCCATTGCTTTGGCACATTTGGTTACTGCTGGCATTTGTCCCATCCGCTGTTGGAGCATTTTGCCAACTTGGGAATTAAGTCTAAATGCCGGAAATTAATCTGCTCTCCAAAATGCAATATTATTCAATGTGATTTTACAAGTGTCCTTGTCATTAGGAAATTGCCTTGTCGTCCCAGGCTAGGCTCCACAGCTGAATGGCATTCGGCTGTGTGTCGCTTTCAAACAAAATTTATAATGCGCATCGATAATGATTTGTTATTTAAAGCTCAAATAAATATCCGGCAATTTAAAAGGTCCAACGAAGAATACAAAACAACAAAAAAAAACAAGTATAGAATACACAAATTTTGAAATAAAATAAAACACGCGTCGCACATGCAAAAAAGTTGTTGTTGCTGCTGTTGTTCATTTATCGTGTGGCACGCAAAACCACAGGCAACTTATCGGCACATAATCAGGAGTTTCGAACAGCCTGGATTTGAGTTTAAGAATGTGAAGCATTGCCTTGGATTTGGTTTTATTTTTCTTTTTCGAATTTCCTTCAGTTTTTTTTTTTCTTGTATATTTTTTTCCTTTTACAACATTAATTTGTTTCTTGTGGAAATTGCCAAGGGCTTTGTGCAATCAGCGTAAGGTTGAGGATGTACCACATCGCCGACGTCGCAGCAGAGCCTTTTGAAGCTGTCGAGGGAAATTTGGAAATTCGATAGCAGGAAATGAATCGGTCGACAAACATGGCGTATGTGCAATACGCGTGGCAACAGTCGCACTTAGCCAACAGACCAAAGTTTCGACATCAGCAGTAGCAGCAACAGATAAGTTTCATTTCTTAGGTTAGGCAGAAGCAGCAGCAGTAGCAGCAGCAGTAGCAGCAGCAGTAGCAGCCAGCAGCAGCAGCCACAGCAGCAGCTTCAGCAGATAAGCGAGGTTTCGCACCCGCTGGCAATCAATTTTCACCAAAACCATCCAAGGAGGCATACTTTTTCCGGGGGCTGCTTTGAAATCGATCTAAAATCATGTTTTCACATTAAAGCCATGAATTATGCATGGCAATAAAAAGGATGTTGTATTTCAATTCGTGGAGTTTCAAATAAATTAGCAATATATAAAATTGGCATTTGCAAACTAATCGCAACTTGACTTAAAAGTGATTTATTTATGATATTAGAAGTTTGCAAATTCAATTTAAAGGTTAAAGCAAAAACAAATGGGGTTTTCCTCAATATGCAAAGCCTTAAAGAAAGCAATT